TACATGTACATATACAAAAAACTTGAATTTTACTGTGTGTATTTACTTAAAATTATTTATTTAAAGTAAGTTAAATGTCACCCTTATTACTGTCCCGGGGCTGTCCAAATTCAGAGGCTGCATCCAACTGAGGACCCGACCTTCGTGGTCTAAGTGGGTCCTCCGAAAGCCGGGTAGGCCGGAAGTGGGCGACTGTGACGGTCTAGCCTTCAGAATTACGTCACGAGCTCTCTCGGTGGAGTGAAACTCTGCCGTCTGCTCAACCGGACACTGGCGTAAATTCTCAACCATCTCACACTTCTGCTTAATCATTTTTCTGTTTGACGCTTATTCAGCGGTGTGAAAACCCCCGGAGGATCCTCCCGAGTGATTAATAAAGTTTTATTTAATCTAATCTAATAATTTAGATCTCAGTCAAACAGATTTACTCATGAACAAATAAAACACTGGAACAAGTCAAACAGTAACATTTTTAAGTTACCTAAGTGACTTGTATATCATGTTTAACCTGAGTAGCGAAAGTCAGCGGGGGTTTGAAAACGATGTGCCGGGAGTTCGCTGTTCTCGCCGGCTCAGATATTTGAAGTTCACACAGCTACATTCTCACCTGAAAATATGTTAAAAGTTTATTTTTCGACCCAGAAAGAGAAATACGAGTAATATGAAAACTAAGTAGCTGCTGCCACCGTTGGAAACTGGAATTGGCTCGGTCGCACTATGAATTCTGGGATATGGTTTTTCATTTTTGTTGTCCAGGTGGAAAATCAGGAGAAACTCAGGAGAATGGTGGCTCAGGGAGATTCCCAGGAGGGCAATGAGATTCAGGATTCTCATGGAAAAAATGGGAGAGTTGGCATGTATGCTATAATGTGCAGTAGTGATCTACTATCAATCTACTGTTGTTGTTTTGGTTGTAAAAAACACGTCGATCGCTGACAAGCAAAATGGCAAAACTCAACAACTTATTAGCTTTATTTCTCTTTTAATGGAGGACAAAAGTGTATTTGTAGACTGTTCTGAAACAAACAAAGAACTTTTTAAACTTATCGTCTTTTTAGAGGCTGACATAGCTTTCTTGGTGTCAACCTTGTAAGCACAGACAGATGGATGTAGCCACTGTGATGTCATCGAATGGTTTCTAATTCCTGCTCTGAAGTCTTGAGATGAGCGTTATTGATGTAACTGCTGAACCACACACAAACTCTGAAAATCTATAAAACTGACTCCATGTTTTATTCAGTATGACCCAGAAAGTGACTTATATTTTTTAGGAAAGACTTAGAGAGGTCAAAGGCCAATTTTCCCATGGACTTGGGCAGGAAGTCTCTTGGCAGTGGCAGCTACCGCCCCTGGTGGACATTATGCAGAATGCACGTTCAAAGTTAATTTTTCAGAGCTGAAAGCAACGTTCATCTTTTATACTATGCTTAGAATTTTGATGCCAAAGGCAGTGCTGAAAGCTGCAGTCACCTGGGTGGCTGCTGTGGCTTTAAAGAGAGTTGACCCAAAGATTCACAGGTAAACAAGCCAAGTTTCAGTTATGAATTCATGTGCAACAGGGTGGAAAAAAACACCTCAGTTTGATCTTTAGGGATCTGTTCATGGCAGTGAAGCCTGAGTAATCTGATCAAAAACTCACAAAGCTCTGTCATTCTGCTTGTGAGTTCATGTGAGTTCAGCTGATTTTGATTTTGTCTTACAGACATTAGACACGCCCACCATCAACTTCTAACATGCACTTTTGAATCCTCCGTCGAGCCTTGTTTTTAGTTTTTTTTCTTTTCTAGTTGTTACAGTGGCCCACCCAGTTGTTTATGCTGGGTTTATCCTCTTAAACATTGAGAGGAGAGAGTGTTTGAACCACACCCTACCTTAAAAAAACATACCTCTCTTATCATAACACATTAGCCATTTCCATGATATTATTGAAGTCTAAGATGATGCCGCAGAGTCTGTCCACTGAAAGCAACAGAAAGCTACAAACTCCAGATGACATCAAGTAACTGCTTAAACAGTAGTTAAGAAAGCGTATCTGCAGTCCTTGTAACCAAGGGAATATAAAAAAACCACATAATAATATTTGGAAGAGAAAACCTTTGGCCCAGACAGCACAAACACATCCAACCAAGGCTGTCATTGAGCAAGTCTGCACAAAGAGTGAGAGAGTGTTCAGGGACACGGGCTTCACATTCATTACAGTGAATGTAACTTCTCATTACAGGACCATTCACACAAACACACACACACTCAGGTCCTGTCACTGTGTCTCCCTGAACATTCCCTCCGCAGCTTGTGTTGCTGCCTGTTTGAAAGCAGATCAGTAATCCTGGATCAGAGAATACAAAGGGACCCCAGAGCGTTGGTGATGCAAGCACTGTGTCCAGTGTCCAGCGGGTAACCACATGCTGCCTGGGAGGGGCCGAGGTGGGACAGGGAGGAACGTCCCTGCCGTGACTGACCCTGAAGACAAGCGAACGCTGATACCGGCAGGCCAGCCTGTCTGCTCTGTCTCGGGGGCCTGCTGCCGATGACCTGGGACACAGTGGGAAGTGCTCTCCAGCTCGCTGTGGAGGAATGCAGCTAAGCTGTGAGGAGTGGTGGACTGTGTGACCGGGCAAACAGAGTGACTTACATATACTGTGCTTCATTCAGGGAAGGCCACGTTGCTGCAGGTGAGTATCACTAGGTAAACATTTACCTTGTAAACGCCTTTGGCAGCGTGTGGGTTTCACACTGCAGAGAAAGTTGTAAGCTCTTGTGAACACGCGCCTGTCATTCACGTACTGCCTGAAAGGTTTGGCCATCACAGGCACCACCAGCTGCGTCATTTGACTGTATGAAAATTTCACAGGCTCAGCAATTGCGTGTGACTGTAAACATTCGCTCTCTCTCAGATGTCCATGGACTCGCTGCAGGACTCCAGTCACACAATGTGGGGCCTGAATGCTCGCTTGAAGAGCTTCTTGGAGCAGGTGAACCGGCTGCAGGAAGAAAACCAGCGGCTGGAGGCTCAGATAGCCAGCTGGGGGGTCAGGAACACCGCGCGTTCCCAGGACTGGTCCAAACAGGAACAGACCGTCAAGGAGCTCCGTGCCCAGGTCAGATGGTATAAAGAGTTATGTAAATTTCACAGCTGTTTGACATAATTGTGGTGCTGCAGTATTATTTCTACTCAGGCTTTATAATAATCAGCTCAAGGCCATCTTGCAGCCACAGGAGAGGAGTGGGTGTGTATAATCAAACAATGAGTGCAGTAAAAACACAGCCTATTGTCTAGTGTAGTGTAGTGTCGATGACAGCTGGATGCAGCATCCTGTGAACAGCCTCGAACACATGTTTAGTTAAAGGATAGGATAGGTGGTTAATGGCACCCTGTTTTTAAGACCATCACACAGTTTGTAAAAAAGGAACTGCCTTTTATTTCTGAAGTTCCTGTTAGGACTACATACAAGGACCGCAAATTTAATCTGTTGTTGATCATTTTTAATTAAATATGTGAAAGCTAGATGTAACTTTGCTACGCTGCATGAATGTGGCAACAGTTCATTCACGGCTGATAAAATAATTTGACAACTACAAGTTAATTTATCACAAATATCACAGGAATCAGATGAGTTACTAAAGGCTAAAGTGAAAAGCTAGTCGACTAGACAATGCTGCTCGTCGATTAATCGTGTCATGGCATATGACATGAAGTCACTGGAGAACAGGCATGTCCAAAGAAGGAAGGCTGCTGCTGTTGCACTGCTATATTCAAAGTTAGCTGTCACTGTGTGTGTGCACTCATTTCACTGACACATAAAACATGATTTGGTTATTATAGAATGTAGTAAACAGTTTCAAATAGCTCATAAACACACAGCAAGATTTTTACTTTTTATTTCATCTGCCAAACTCAGTCCAATGTTATAATATACCGGTAGTTATAATATAATATAGTCAATTGGCTTCCAGGAGCAACTCGAGACAGCATTTTGGGGTTAGTAGCTCACAAGTCAAGGTTAGCTAGTGTTGCTTAATGCTATTGACGTTCGCATGGAACAAAAACTTGAACAAGCGTAACGCTAACTTCAAAATAGAGAAAGTTGTGCATCAGGGCTGCAGCCGACATGTTTTTGGGGGGCGGGGGTTCGATCTCCTCTCAGTTTCAGTGCTCCTCAGCAAGCAGCTGAGCTGATGATATGATTACAAAACCAATCATCAACCTGAGACCTAGGGTGTCCTGGTACCCTGTGCACTTATGGGCACCCTTATGTGCGAGCATGGTGTTCCTCCCAGTCACATAACTCCAGGTCACAATGCCATTGCCCTCGTGAGCACAGGGGTCCCTGAGTAGGGCAGATGGGGCATCTTCCAGGACTCCACTCAGGGACCCTACTTGGTACATTGAGATGCTGTTCAGCTTATAAGCACTGCAAATTACAGGCACTGAACCGAGGGGATAAAAATATACCCACCCCTGCCTGCCACCTCTCAGTCAGTCCAACCGCTCTCCAACTAACTGGTTCCAAGTTGTGCACTGAGATGAGTCTAACTATACTTAGCCATACCCAGAATCCCTCTGCCTCTAGAACTACCTCACACTCCTTCCCCACCAGACAGGTGACGTTCCACCTACCCAAAGCCAGTTTCAGTCCTCAACAAGAGCCCAATCCACATTGCCTGGACTCCTATGGCCCCTCCTGAATGTGATTTTGCTTTATTATGTAATAAAACAAATCATTGCAATTGTCCAATACTAAAAGCCAAATACTAAAGACATGTATGTCATGTAGATATAAAGCTTCTGGTTTATTAGTTTTTAAACTATTATGATATATTTTTTATTCCTCGAGGCATCCAGAGACGGCACCGGACTCAGTAGTCATTTTCACAAAACCTTTATTCATCTTCATTCATCTTCAGTTAAGCAAGAGAAGGGGAGACACGCAAGGCCGGTGTCCCTCTGCAAATCTTCCACTCCTTTGTTTGTTACAGTCAGCTTTATAGAAGTGACCCCCGTCATAAAACCCCCACGGTGTGCTGCAAACTCTGTGTTTGTGTGTGTATGCACGTGCACGTGAGTGAGTGTGTGTGCGCACCTGTGTGTAAGTGTGAGTGCACGTGAGTGAGTGTGCATGTAGGTGTGGGTGCGTCATAACAGTCAAAGCACTGTGTGTGTGTCTCTGTGTACGTGACTTCCTGCCGGTCATAAAAGTAATCTCCTCACCCAAGCTACACTAAATTCCTCTACACAACATACAAAACAGAGTTAACATATCACAAACACTGAGACCCCGACTCTGCATCCACTGGGCCATTGGCCTCTTGTTGTCTTACATTTACAGATAAGCATGTGGAGAGTCTCCTGCAAACCTGCTTCTAAGTTATAACAATTATGAGTTTTTATTAAAGGTACAAGCATCAGCATCAGCAACCCCCAACTGTAGCTTCCTGTCTCCTTTTATGACAGGCTGACCCCCAGTCTCCATAAATTCCTTTCCCTCTACACAATTACACACACTCTCAAGCCTACAGCTAAACCAAACTAAAACACACAAACAAATGCTTCCCTCTTCCTCTGATCTATTGCTGGACCCTCTCATCTAAGCCAATTTAACACATTATATTCTAATAATTATTTTCTTGTACTCACATAATACATAACATTTTTTAAGCTAATAATCATTTCAGGTAGGTAAAATGCTTTTAGACTTAGTTTATTATTGTTATTATTATTTAAAAACTAAAAGGCATGGAATTTTGACATGTAGGATAGGGTGAACAAGTGGGTCTTCAACTAGTTTTAAAAACCTCCACAGAGCATGCCTGCCTAATATCTTGAGGAAGGTTGTTCCACAAAAATGGGGCACAAAAAGAAAAAGCACGCTCTCCAATAGTCTTTTTTTCTGGCTCTAGGAACCTTTAAAACGCCAGAGTCTTGAGATCGGAGAGCACGGGATGGAACACAGGGTGCAAAAGGTCAGAGAGGTATGAAGGTGCATTTGAAGCCTTGTAGGTGAGCAGCAGGACCTTAAAATCTGCTTGAACCTGTCAAGGTAGCCAATGAAGAGATCTCAGTACAGGGGTAATGTGCTCAGATTTCCCAGTTTTAGTTAAAATGCGAGCAGCTGCATTTTGAACCATCTGTAAACCTCTAAAACTTTTCTTTGGTAGCCCAGAAAGGAGAGCATTACAATAATAAATACGCGAAGACACAAATGCATGGACAAGAACCTCTGCAGTGTCGCTTGACAAAACTTGTCTGATTATGTTTCTTAAATGACAAAAGGTGGACTTTGTTGTCTCTCTTACATGAGACCTGAAAGAGAGCACCATGTCGAACCACACGCCCAAGTTTTTTACCTTTAACATTAGTTATCATTGTAACAGCCTTGGTATCAACGAGACTAATCGAAGATGTTTTGCGTACTGTGAGAGGGCTCACCACAGATATAGAAAGATATGTCTTGTGCCCGTATCATTACGCTGCCACAGAGACCCACGATTGATGGCTGCCACAGAAAGAATGCGGAAGCGCTGAGTCGACGACTAACAGCAGTGATCTCCCATGACTCAACTGATGGTTTTGAGCTGCTCCCTGGATTTACTGTCACTTTCTTTACACCGTGCATAAGTAGGTGTCACTGACAGACACTAATTAGTTGTTCACATGTTCCCATGACTACCACAGACAAACTCAGCCAACTTCATTGTCTGAGGATCCAGGGAGTGCTTCCATATAAATGTTAGGGATTAGTTCTCTATTTATCTTCTTAAGAAGTGCTCAATTTAGTTACATCACAGGAGACGGGGCAGACATTACTCCATGATGTTGTCAGTCTCCTGACTCACATCCTCACCGGGAGTCAGAAGCTGGGATTGTAATGTTCTATCCATACAATGAGTGAAGCTTGTAATGGTGCTTATGGTAAAAAATAAATAAATGGTGGAATAGTCTATGTTATCTTTGGCTTTCTTTCAGCAAGGGTGTGTCTTCTTTCAAAAGTTTTGTACTCATAAGAAAACAAAGGAGAATGAGGGCGTGTTAAGATTTTTATTTGTGTTTGATATAATACAAGGATCCAATGTTTTATACTTTACTTTGCTGTATTAAAATAATATTAGAAATTATAAAAAATGTGGGATTTGATATAAATCCCTGCAGAAGGTGTATGCTAAATGAACTCTCCCATGAACAGTATGTAAACAGGATGTGCAAACTGGACCACTGATTGGCTTTCTGAGTGCAGAAGTGACATGAGGAGCAATAACACTCAAAGGATCGATTTTAGCTTTACCTGTAAATTAAATATATCAAGTTTATATTCAACAAGCTATATTTTGATGTATTAGTGTAATTTATATTTAAAAAGTACAAAGAGGAAGGGCGTGAGCTGAATCGAGTCAATCGCATCACCTTTGATGTACAAATGCTTTGTTTTCTTCTGAATAGGCCTAATTCATAACAGTATCTCTTCAGAGTCTGTGTGCGTCTGATAATATGGGGATTTTGGCATGCAAAGTAGGATGGATTACAAGCATGAGGCGTCTATAGCATGGGTTGGGCATTTTTATAGCTCCTTTTTAATCTCACTGACCACTCAAAGTGCTTTAGATTACAAGCCACATTTACATTTTCACACAAAGTCATATTGCACTTTATTTTATGCATTTAGATTCTTTATGTACGACCAATTTAGAATCACCTCTTAACCTAACATGCATGTTTTTGGACTGTTTAGCAAGCCTGAGTACTTGTAAGCCCACACAGGGTTTAGGAGAATACCGGACCATCAGGCAGGCCGGATTATAAGGCGCATTAAGCGAAACAAAACAGTCAGATGAGTCAAATTTTACTCAACTCACTCATTCTTCTTGCTTCCTCCACTTCCATACGGAGCCCCACAAGGGACATGGGAGAAAAAAAAATTAAGATGAACTTTTGCGAGATCTCACAAAGGTAACTCGGTAACTCGGGATCTCGCAAAAGTTGAATTCCAGACATCACATATTTGCAAAAGTGCTCTGACATTTTCGGAGATGTCTGTCTTTTGCGAGATCCCGAGTTAGTTTTGCGAGATCTCGCAAAAGTTCATCGTAATTTTTTTCTCTCCCATGTCCCTTGCAGGGCTCCTTACTTCCATACCATTGATTCATTAATGTTGAATTCTCTCGCAGCTGCTCTATTCCCATGTTGCTGCAGTATATTAATGACTAACCTCTTATTGTTGATGGATTATCTCAGTTGTTCTCCTGCCTGAAGTTTGGTCCGTTTACAGCATCCTGCCATGCAACTGCATTTGTTCGTAACCAACGGGAACCCTCACGTTAACTTTTACAGAGTGGAAAAAAGGTTAGCGTTCGTCCTCCAGTTTGTTATGCTAACATAGCTGTGTAGCTAGCGATCACGTAGCGCATCATTACATACCAGCTAGCCCAACTTCAGCAACCCTAAAAAAGTCACTGCTGTTTAGTTTTCTGTCTTCATTTATGTTGAAAATGATAGAAGAGCTGTAGGTGGAAACTAGCGAGCTAACTTCCTGCTAACTTCTGACTCCGTTAAATTTAATAAATTCTGTTTTCATGGATGCCTGGATGTTAAACTTAATTGTTACATCCAGTAAAGCAGTAACGCTGATCATTTTATTAACCCTTGTATGGTGTTCGGGTCTGTGAGACCCGTGTTCAGTTTTTTTCACAAGAAAAATTAAACAATTAATTATTTTTTCACGTGTAAATGTGTTGTGTCTTTCCACTCACTCCACTTGATTATAACTGATTTATTTATAACATTTTATATAAAAGAAAAACGAGAAGCACATTAATTCATAAATGTGATCTAACAAAGGTAAAGGGAAAAAATTAACCATGTTTGCTGTTCATATGTCTTGTAATTGGGATGAAGTAAACATCTGTTGAGTAATTTAACATAAAATTGTTTGATAGTGTTAATTTGGAAAGCCAAAACTCTAGCGGGTCCACCAGACCCATGAACACTGGCTGAGTAACAAAAATACGAACACCACACAAGGGTTAAAGATGAAAGAATTTAGACAGTTTTTAACTCCCAGTGATGCGGCAGTGTTCGTTTGACCTTGGGACAGAAGTAGAAGGAGTTTAGGACCCAGATTACTCTGCGAGGCTCCTGACTACAGTAGCCTTGAGGCTCAGACAATCTATCAAGCAGTGCGGCTTCATAGCTCACAAAAGTCCTACTAAAACATTGTTGACAGATTTTGAGCGCCGTGTACCACATAAAAGGTCAGTAAGCACAACCAGAATTCATACATCAGGCGCACCGGATTAAAATCCGCACTGTCGATTTTTGAGAAAATTAGGATTTTAAGTGCGCCTTATAATGTGGAAAATAACCAGACTCCACACAAAAGAGTCCAGAGATCACGAGATTCAAACCCAGAACCTTCTTGCTAAAAGTCAGCGGTGCTAACCACTGCCACGACTTGCTCTCCCACTTTTTCCAAGTTTTGTGACTTTCATCTCATGATTTGTTTCTTAGAGAGCTGTAGCTTTGATCATGCCATCAGAACATGGAAACTGTATGTATAGAATCACCGGTCAGATTTTGCCTTGACCTCCAAATCTAATCACATCTTATTTGTTTTTTTGTTTTTTGCTTTGTCAGGTCGGTAAACTACTGATGGAGAATGCTCAGCTGGCTTTAGAGTCTGACAGCATGAAGTCCAGAGCGGCTGCCATCCAGGCCAGGTCAGCTGTATTTGGCTTTAATTTTTCTGGAAGCTCCAGTGCTCCTCTTCCTCAATCAATACAATTTTCTGATTATTAATTAGTATTAGGTATGATTTCATATTGCATAAACCTATTGCATCTATTTTATGTCCAAAGTAATCGGCCACAGTGGGCAAAAGACATGGTTTTGTTTGTGTACCATTGGTAGTTTTTACCAGATGACAGGCGCTAATATGGGATAATCATCACCAGCCAATAAAGATGTTTCAGTGTTTGAGGCAAAGCTGTTGAGTTCAGAATAAAAGACTTCCTGTTTTCATCCTGCTGCAATGCTTTTCCAGCTCCCCTTTTATCGCACTCAGGCCAGTTCCCGCTCCTGTGAGCCAACCTGCATACAAATCCAGGCCTGACTTTGTGCCGCGTCAGCGCTTTCACTTATGTATTGATGCAGAGTGACACAGACCCCCCC